TTGTTCAGTGAATTATATGGTAACGCTTCCTTAGTCGGTAGTTGTTACTACATTGTCTCACCGTCAATTTAGGAGCGAGCTGATTGACTTTCCGGCACTCCTGAAGATTTTTGCATATTTCCGACTTTTCGCTGACTCAGACGTAATAAAGGTATACAAGTGCAAGATTTGTTTTTGAACGTGTTTAATTGAGAATCCCTTCCAGGCGTTCGTTACTGAATTACCATCACAGTTCGTCAGGCCCTAGCGGCTGTTCAGAACTGAATCCCATGCGTCAAATTCTTCCTTCCGTCGATGTGCATTGATGAGAAATCCAATCCTCAGCACGTTTTTGTCTTGATGAAAACAACACATGAGTCTGAACATCGCTGTTGCTGTTGAAACACTGTTTCTTCTACAGTTCAAATTTTGAATGCTTAATTGATTGTCCAGCAGTCTCAAAGTAAACTACCAGTGAAATGATAGTGAAATTTAAACAAATATGGATAAATGGAGATATGAATCTTTTAGGATTAAATATTAATTATAACTACTCTTGTTTGATAATGGCTCAAAGCAACTGGTCACAAGGGTGCAACTTGGCGCAACATCCTTAAATTCGCTATTGTATTTCCACGTCGCACCATTATCAAATTAAAATATGCAGTAAAAGCTGAACAAAAGACAGTTATTTCATATTTCGCTGCATACAAGTTGGGTGATGACGTTCTAGCTGTGACTAAAATTCAGCGAACTCGAGCATGATAGTCACATTTGGTCTTAGTTAGTTAAGATATGCAACGACTCGTTAATTAATGGGCGGATGTGTCGGTTCCTTTTCGATACAAGTATAATTCATCTATGTGATAAGTGTTCTGTGAGCATTTTTTGTGGGAGAGGGATTACATCTCGTACTGATTTATCAAACTGGCAGTCACGTATCTCATGTGTGACTCGAAGCGAAGCCTTAGAAAGCGCTAGCATCAAGGAGCATGGCCGTGACACTCCTCCCTTCTGGATGCTTGAGTGTCCCATTTTCTCATTTACTCAAATCAGAATTGCAGGACATCATTTCCGAATGCCGCAGTACAAAAATTCGACGCATGGAGCTTAACTAATGTTCACATGTGATCGCTGCAGCAATTAGTTAATCGACTTTGAAACTGCGACAGTCACATGCGAAGTTAGTCACTTTTTCGAGCCATGCGGCACAAAAATGATTCATTCATATCAGTCTTACGTGCCTTAATGCCTGTATTTAGTCTTTTTATGACTTTCGCGATGTATATTTCATGGGATCTTATGCATAGCGCTCGTTTTTTCATATCTTTATGGTATCATATCAGCGCGCAAAATATTTCTTAAGGTTACTTCTTACCATAGATATCCAAAACGTCGGGTTAATGCAGCCTCGATGGCAAACGAAACAGTCACTAAAGTTTGTTTAGATAACCTGCCGTCTGACGAAAATCTGTCTATGTTATGCTGAAAAGTTTATTTACTGGCGAGTTACGGCTCGTAATCTCTATATTTCAAACTGTTTTGCAGTTCACAGTGAATTAATATGGGAGCACGTTCTTTAATGCGGTTTGAGACCACATGGTCAAATTAAATCCCTGCTGATAATTCGAAAACGTTCATTTACTTTACCCTCACATGATCAGTGGTTTGGACGCTACCCATCCTTCGCTGCGTGAAAGTTAAAGCCTGATTTTTACAGTAGTATAAAAGTTCATTGGCCTTGATCTCTTGTGGAAGAAGTCAGGTTTATTAGCTTGTGCAATATAAGCGCGTTCGTTACTCTAGGATTATACAGGCCCATTAAACGTGTATGCACAGATGGTTAATGGCATCAGAATGTTATGTACAAATGTACAAGAACTTATGAAAGGTACCTCATGTCGTAAAATCAGGTTGCGAGATGAGCTGAGCTCAACAACAAGCAGTTCCCTCGCATCACTGTCATCTTCAAAAGACCGTTGAACCTCTACCTTCCAGCAAATGCAGCGGCAGTAAATTAAGTAGCTCACCACATGCCGAACGCCGTTGTCAAAAACAAGTTATATCATGATAATGAACACAGCTATATGCCATTATTCTGTCAAGCTTTTCATTTGCAGAGGAATTTTAGAAAGGAACTGACGACAACT